GACCCCCGCCGAATGGACCATAAAGAAATAAAAAACACAAATCATTGTAAAATCAATACATTCATCAATCCGCTTAGAATCTAAAATAAGTTTTTTTGTTGTTTCAAAAATGTAATATTATTTTTAAAATAATATTGTAATTATTCGTCAATATAGGTTAGGTGTGTAGGTACAATTACATTTTTTTCTTGTGTACCAAGGCTAATTCATTTTAGATATCTCATTATATATTCTTGGTTTGTTCAAACTCAGTAAGAATTAATTGTTGAAATAATATTATCATCAATGTTTATCAGTATTTAGTTGCCATGGTTTTAGTAATATTGTTTTCAATTAGTTTCATTGTTATCGCGGGTTTTCTTCAAAAGAGAAATTATTACTACATGACGTGTAAAATGATGAGTGCTATAACATTTCCCGTTGTCAGTTCTATGAAAGCTGTCTGCTCCATTGGCGGTTCTTAAAAATAAAGTAATTATTATAAACAGGCAGATTGGATAAAAGCAGTTAAATATATTAATAAATACCTAATATCTATATTATTAATAAAATAGATTTATAATAATATGATTCAGAGTAAGTTACTAAATTACCGTGTACCTACCTTGGATTTAACGATCGTTCTTGTGCCCAAAGCATTGGGGGAAATAATGAATCATGTTCAATGACGTTAGCACGTAATCCAAAAATAAATGTCCAACTTCTAAGTTTGGCCATTGATCTAATCCATCGTTATTGTCATTATGACTTTATAGTAGTAAATAAGGTAAGTTATCTACTAATAATTTGAATGCGTTAAATTTGTTCGTATTTTATACTTTTCTCCGCCAAGCTTGGGCTAGATGAAAATGGAAAGTTTCAACAATGACATTTAGAAATATTTCTTTGACTATTTCTTGAGCTCCGATTTCAAAGTCCAAATGCAGCTTTTGAACATTAAGATGTTGACATGTTTGCAAGAGATACTTCTACATTTTAATGTAAATTATTTTCGTTTTGTTTGGTAAAAAATACCTAGGTATGGCTATAAAAACGGTTAACGTATGGGTGCATTGTAGCCTGTAGGTAGGCAGTAGGTACCTAAATGGCTATAAAATATATAACTGTAAAAAAACATTTTGGTGCAAAATCTTAAGTACGATTAGTACCATCTCCATAACATTTGGTCTGTTTGGATATACATTTTAAATTTTGGCATTTTATCACTTTTAAATAAATTTTGTGATATAAATTCATTCAAAGTACCTAGTAGGGTAAATTGGAAACCTACTGTTTTCTCCTTATGATATAAATTGCATACGCATCGATGTGATACGTCACTATTTAGTAAATATTAGGTCTAACCGTCTAGGTATAACTATACAAGAATAATTAGTAAAGTACTTACAGATGCATTTTCTTCAGCTTTTCGCTTACAATTTTCTTTTAAAATCTGTCTTTAAATTGTTTTCTCATTATGACATTATATTACTTAGGCACATGATTATGTTCTCTATTTGATGCTTGAAAATATTTATCAATTTTCATTATTATACTGTAACTACAATTTTTATTTGAACATTTCCATCTCATTATTCCTTCTTTGCGTTGTGTCAAACTTAACTTTTAACTTATTAACTCATTAATTAGCCAAAAAGTGCCGGGCGGTAAAGTGGAAATCCCCAAAAGTGCTGGCCGCAGTGCCGCAACTAGAGATAAATAGGCCTAGGGGCAAGTCAAATTTTGGGGACCCCTATTTCAAACCTTTACCTTACAAAATTGCATAGCACCATAAGCGCAATTAAGGGTGGGCGTACAACTCCCTGGTAACAAAAAAAAACCCAGAAAATAATAAAGACACATGGTTTCCCATCTCAGGAGACTAAACATTTTTATTTTGGTTCTTAAAATAATGCAAATAATGTGCATACCAAGTACAATTTTAAAAAGCAAAACAATTTTTATCACTTTATTTGAATTAATTTTACTTACAAAAATAGATCAAATAATTTAGCAACCTATCGATTTTTCAATTTTAAATGTGTATTTTAGGGTGCTTTATAAGAATGTAAAAAAAAAAGCCCGGACAAAGATGAAAAACTTCAAAAACTACATCTTTTACGGAACTCGCATTTAAAAAAAAAATACTTAGAATTGAATCTTATTAAATTTTTTTTTTAAATGACTTGTTCTTCAACTCGGATTTCGATTTTTGGGGAAATCATTATTTTGGAAGTTATAGTCATCCAAAGTTTGTGATTTTACGTTTATACGCATATGCGCAAGTGCGCAACACTGCTTTAATGCTGCTCGGAGGGACCCGTGTTTGGCGTTGTTTCGATTTTTTTTGTCCGAGCACAGCGCAGCGAGCGAGTGGCAAAGCTAGCAGATTATGTGTTTTTTAACAACTTTGTTTAATTCCGAGGCCTGCCCAAGGTGGTTTTACATACGATTAGCAAATCGGGAGATATTTTCGAATTTTTGTCCGAGCGATATTTAATTCTAAGTATTTTTTTTTAAATGCACGTTACGAAAAAAATTTAGTTTTTGAAGTTTTTCATTTATAACTTCAAAACGAAGTTTGTCCCGGCTTTTTTTTAACATTCATATAAAGCACCCGGAAATATACACATTTTGGAAAATATTATACAGTGACCCAATTGAAACCTACTATACAGCAGAGCGACATCCATTTACCCACCTTTTTGTGTTTGTAGTCTGTATGGGGAGGAACGGTTGGTTGAAACCATAGACCTAAGAACTAATGGAGTACTCAGTCCACTGCCCCCTGCCCCAAATGCTAGGGAATAACTGAGAAAGAAATAAGAGAGAAAGTGGAGGAAATACTTCACTTTTTTTTTATAAACCATAAATATATATACTAGGTAAATAGGTAATATGGTTGTTACCATAGACCTACAAGTTTGGTAACCTCAAATCAGCTATTACGTTACCAATAAAATATAACAATTGACAGATTTTATGGTAATACAATTTTTTATCTGGCAGTAGTTGCACTGTAATTTACTAATGTGTTTCTTTTCTGGCTCTATATCGTACCCCTATTTCTCTCTCCAAGCACTGTCCATTAGTTTATAAGTTTGTGGCCTATGGGTAATTATTAAATATATGAATTGGTTCTAAGCTAAATTTATTTATTGTCTAAGTTGAATAAATATAAGAGTTTACTCTTTGATTAAGATATTTTAAAAACATACAAAATACAATTTAATAAACTATTAATTTTTTTATGAAGAGTACCTACATCATATTTTTTGTTGTAAATATATAAAATTATTTCAGGAGCTCTTTAATGCCGTTTAATAATAACTGCCTACCTAAATAAACCTCAAATATAATATTTTAATTTTTTGGGTAAGACACATTAGAACAGGATCAAATGAAAATTATTAACAGATTTGCAAAACGTAAAATATGTAAATACCACATATTATAATTTTTACAAAATAACTTTATAATGTGTTCAACTAAATTCCAAATTTATCAATACAAATAATTAAAATAGACATACAATCAATAAAAATAAATTATTTGCACAATAAAATGAATACAAATATTTAGTAATTTGAATTCTCTAAATTACGGTCAATAAATACCCCAGAGGTCTCCTTGTTAGGAGAAGTAATGCTTACGCGGTTCCTCCTCCGTCCTTCAATTAACTCGGGAAAAGAAAAAAAAAAAAGGTGTCTCCTTATTAATTATACATTTCTCTGCTTATTTCTGATTAAATATATGACAGTATACATGATATTATAGGTAGAAGACAATGTGCATGAAAAATTATAAAAATTATTATTAAACATTTCGAAGCTAAAACAGTAAAGCTAGATAAATATTCAAAGAAGTTAACGTTAAAAAAAATTTGTCTAAACTTGCAATAATGAAAACAAGATTCACAAATATTTACTATGATTGTATTACAATTTTTCTGTTGTAATAAAATTCATATTATAGTAATATAATGTATTAAAAACAACAAGGTAGGTCCAAAAATAATTATAAGCAACACAGTTGATATATAAACCTTGTAATAAATTCTTAAATATAAATAAATTACGGATTAAGTAATTTGGCTAACAGTTAATATCTATATTTTATAAAATCAAGAGTTGACTTTTGATATACAATGAGATTGAATAAAAAAAACTTACTTATATAAAAATAACAGGGTCAGTTCAACAGTTTTCCATACAATTATTATAAAAAATAAAACAACAACCGTGTCAGATACGTCATAGTATTAATAAATTAAACAACTAAACTTAATTATAAAAATGAGGACATTAAAATAAAAAAAATGTTACTTAGTACCAATAATTCAACAAAATAATAAAAATAATTAATGACATTGAGCAAAAGTAATAAATTGTACGATTTGGAATTCGCCATTATTATACAAACATTCACATTAATTGGTAACATTAAGATAAAATATAACAAGCAATTTTAACTTTATAATAATATTCAACGTGTGTATCACCAGTTATTTAAAAATAAAATTGTACTATAAGTTTGTAAATTGTAAATAATCACACTTGCGTAAAATTAGCAAAATTTAACATTCTTTACATCAGACTTTGTGTAAATAATTGGCCTATTCACTTATTATAATAATTTAGAAAAATACAGTTATTTTCAAATCATTTTAATTTTAAAAATGTATCATTTACAACTAAAAACATTCTTGTTGTTTTTTGATTACCAAGGAGTGAAAGGTTTTATTTTATAATATAAAAATATTTTTTAATTGTTAATAAAAATTAAATAAAGTAATATTGAACAAGGATATTTTATAATATTTATTAGTTATTAGTTATTATATATTATAAACAAAGCTTGGTGTTAGACATTTTTGGAAAATTAAATGACTAGACATTATATAAATGGCACAAAATTATACTAGATATAGTTTTATATTACAAACAGATTTGATCTAGGGTATATTTAAGATTTTCATTAAGATTATGTAGCAAAACGAGACATTATTAAAACTCTGCTATTTATTTGATTGTTTGCCAAATAAGATAACATATTGAATCTCCAACTGTTTCTACTAGTGCAGCTACCTCATCAGAACCACTCACATTTCTTCTAAAAACTACATTTACTAATGAATCAGACGTAGAAACCAGTTTCTCCGATGAATCAATTCCATTATCAATTATTACAAACGCATCAAATTCATCAAATTCTGTTAGATTTGGTAAGACTACTATGTATTGATGTTCTGATCTATTACTATTATATATACGACACTGTGGTGGTAATGTAGAAGTTGTTTCCAGTAATAATGTCGATTGCCCAGAGATCATCTTATGTAACGAAGTAAACCATTGTGGTTGTTTAAGAAGTAGCTTTAATATATAGCTGTAATTCTGGTCATATTCGGATAATGATTTTACAAAAACAGATGTATTCACAAGTTCTTCTAGTTGGTTAAATGTAACGTCGGTGATCCCAAGCTTCTAAAAACATACAAATTTAGATTTTATTCATATATAATAATAATAATGAATTCATGCTAATGGCCATAGTAGTAGATGCTTCAAAAACTAATAAAAACTAAATAAATAAATAAAATAATAAATTCAATTTTTTCTTTATTATTTACCTGTTGATCAATTGGTACGCCAAATAATTTCCATAGTAAATGTATACGGCAACGATTAGCTGCTGTATCTACAGTATGTGCAACCAATTCTGCTGCTTTTTTTTCATAGAATTTTATTAAGTTTCTTTTTTTGATAGTTTGCTGATGATGTTCATTTAAATCATCATAGACATATTCATTATTTTTTTTACATTTTTTTTTTAAATATGGTAAGTGATTTGGTGGAAATTGAGACCAATTTTGAAAAGCGTTATTTTCATCCAAACTTCCACCACAAGTAGCTGATCCAGATGTCATAGAATTACCAACGCTATTACTAGGTACACTAGCGGACAGTAATACGTTATTAGATTGGTCAAATCTACGATCAGGTGGACGAATAGGGGTGCTATGTCTTTGCTGCATGTTGTAGACGGTTTTAAGTGAAATTGCTTTTTTTCTATTAAAAAAAAAAAAATTGTTCATGAACATTTGTAAATAATATTATATTAGCGTAAAAGTGTAAGTCTTATATAATAGAAATAAAATATTATTATTATTATTATCTTTTTATTAATAAATAGAAAAATTATTTTTCACTGTCATAAAGTGGGGCTACTCTGGTTCTGAAATAAATTATTTTAATGTCAGTGCCAAAAAAAACAAGGTGCCCAGTGCCAGTTTATTCAATTTTCTGTGATTCTAAAAAATGTGTAAATTAAATATTGTATTTTAGTTGCCACCTAAATTGTAATACTTTTCGACTAATCTACTACCTGATACCTATTTAGGCGGGATTAATAGGGTATATTATATCACAAAAAATGACTTCATAGGAATAATTCTCAGGCCATGTAGAATTGTTGGATTTTGATAAATATTTTTTTTATCTGAAAGAAGAAGACTTCCCACAGGCCGTATTGAACTTTGATTTTTTATTTAATGGTATGATATTAAATTTATAAAAAAAAACACTTAAATTGTATTTCATTTTGTAGACATATTTATTTTTAACTATATTTATAAAGTTTGAGATCAAAATATTAAAAAACGGAGATCGAGGGTCCTGTAGAATATTACCCACTATAAGTTAAAAAAAAAAAATATCAAATTTGGTTGATTCTACAGAACAGGATTATTATTTTTGTAGAGCGTATTTTTGTGTACAAAATTAAATTGACACCAGACGCCTTAAATTATGTTGTCAAGAAAATATTATATTATTCTAAAATGTTTGATGTAATATGTTTAAATTAATATTTTTTGGATTAAGGTGTTTTGGCACTACATGCTTCTAAATGTATACTCAAAAAAAGGAATATTTTTAATATAATTCACTACTCATATACTGATAAAATGAATATTTAACATACTTTTTCAAATTATAATTTTCATTATTTGTCAACAGCACGTAATATGATAAAGTTATTTCATTACTAGTGTCCAATAATAATTGTTTTACTGATGACAGTGTCATTACAAGTGTCGCATCAAATAAACCACATACTTCATACTGATTATCAGTAAAATATTCATTTGATTCCACTCCTAATTTACGATTATTTGAATTATTTGCTAATTCTTGTCTTCGTTGTATATCACTACCAGCCATATGATGAACAAGAATATAATCCTATAATAAATTATTAATATAAATGTGTTAATGTTATGTGAAAAAAATGTATTTGTCATTCTTACAGTCAAATCATTGCCAAAAATATGTTGAGAATCTAGATATTCGTGATCTTCAAAATCATCAAATAGAGATGCTCCATCGTCTCCATCTGCTGATGAACTATCACCTATTTTTAAAACAGCCATTCCTTCACAATCTTCTGAACAGTTTTCTACCAAGTATTCATATAATTGGAGACCGGTAACAGGTATTTCAGTACGCTTGATGACACCTACAAATTATTTTAAAAAAAAAATGCAATTTTACAATTATATTGATATACATTTGAAATATTAATGGTAATACCTGCTAGTACTAAACAATTAGAATATAATGGTGGAAGGGTGTAATATTTCAAAAAATCATCTAGAAATCCAGCAATAGCATTTTTTTTATTATTATTTCCCGTTTTATTGGCACTATTTTGTATAGAGTTTTTATGATCCAATAGCATTAATATATCGCAGCCATAATTACATCTTTTTCCAGCCTTCTGTTTTTCTACTAATTTACTTAGTCTATCCGATAGTATCCGTACATGAAAGTCATACGTAAATGAATGTAAATGCATATTCTGAATAATATTTTCAGATTGTTCAAGGAGACAATACTAAAAAAATATAAATTATTTAATTAATATTATTCAATACAAACAAATCTTAATAATAATTATGCAAGTAAGATAACATTATTTTTTCTAGAATGTATTGGAGATTAATAATTATTTAATATTCTTTACCGGTTTGTATTTATCTTTGTAATTCTCAACAAGATTTGTAATTCTAGCTCTTTCAATACAACTAAGCTTGATGTAATAAAATGGCTGGCATACTCCAATTTCTATTAAAAGTAATCCACCAGAAACTCCAGGTATAGTTTTTTTATAATAACGAGTAATGGATTTAGTGCAATCCAAATCCATTATCGTACTAAAATATAAACGAGATAAATTATATTGATTATTGTATTTTTTTATTAAAACAAATTTACTCACCCATCATTATATACACGGGATTTACCAATTTGAATTGGTTGGAAGCCACTAAAAAGAGGATCAGTTTCTATATATTGGGCGTAAGCAACTGTCAACCTAGCACATAATCGTTTGTGCCATTGCGGAGCATGTGAAAAAACTAAAGTTTTTAATTTAGATGCATCTACTAAATGATCACGAGTAGCAGCTGATTCTAATCGCCACCTAAAAAACACAAAGTTTGTTATTAAGATCATTAATAAATTATTTATAATAACATAGGTAAGTATTTTTATTTACCAAGGTAAAAATAATAATGGTGTTAAACAGTAATGAATTAATCTACTTTGTTGATAAAAGGTCCGAAAAGCTTCTTTTGTAACAATAGCATCTACTTGAATCCACATGTCATATAACAACTTTTGATACATTTCTGAAATAATAGACAAAGCATATTTAAATCTTAACATTTTTAGTACCATTGAATCTTCCTAAACAATGTTAACAATTAAAATGTATATTAATGTAGATTTAAGCACTGAAATAATATATATTATATATGATATAAAATTTCCTGAAAAAATGAATCATTGTGAAAGAATGTTTGTTTTAAAATAATATAATTTTCATATATTATAATATTGTTGAAGTATTTTTATTCATGTTTGAAAAAAACTATTGGCATATTTAACATTGTGTCTATGCTAAAAACAATATTTATAAAACAACTTGTAGATATAAAATCAATATTATTGATAATTAAATAATTTATAAAATCACATAACTAAATTCAAAAAAAAAAATGTAACCATTTGTTTTTGATTTATTTAATATTAATAACTCTATAATATATATATTGTTTAGCACTTGTTAAATTTAATTAAAATTTGTAAATATTTTTTTCAAAGAACTACATTTATTAATATTATGAAAATAAAAATGCCAGACACATTAAGTATATAAATCTACCTGTACGACGCCGTTGTTTACTATTTCTCACCAATCTCTCAATATATGAATCCTGAATATCTTTTGTGTAGTTTAAAGGTTTACTTTTTTTATCTTCTGTGTCATTATCAAGTGGTTTTGTACTACCACGATTATTTATCCGAAAGTTTTTTTCTAAAAATATTTTTTCATAAGATTCATATTCTCCTACAATAGAAACATAATTCTTATAATCCAATAATAATTCTAGGTTATTATTTATTCTTGATGAGTGGCTTTTAATTTGAGTGCTTCCAAATTGGCCATATATTTTTGAATTTCTAAGTCCTATCATGTGATATATAGATGATGTGAAAGCAATGCTTCGCCATTCTAACCAGCTACTCAAATGTTGGATAGCAATTGGTTGGTCTTCTTTTTTGTGGCAATTATATGATAATGCATGAACTGATTGACCAGATACAGCTAACAGAAATAATTTAGAAATTTTTTCACAAGTACTGATTTTTTGTGGTTTCTGATATTTTTTACTATCAGATACTGTGTTTTGAATAACATTTTCATCTGTATCGTTGATTAAAGTCATTGGTTGGTCATCAGTTGTCAAAGTTTCAATATTAACTGGAAAATATAAATAAATATTTAAAACAAAATAAAAGTATTACATAAATTGAATATTTTGGGCAAACTAATTTTTCCCTAGGTATACTAAAATTGTTATTAAATAATATTAGAGGTGGGAAGAACTGTTCCAAGTTCGAAAATTGAACCAAACTTTAGATGTTCAGTTCATGTTTGAAAGGCAAACCAAGCTTTAAAAATACCAAACACAACCCAAACAAAAATTTTGAAATTTTATAGTTAATAGTTTGATCTCCAAAAAAATTCCAAAAGGTTTTAACCAAAAATGTTTCCATTGTTTATTGTTGAATATGTATTAAATAATTAATAATTAAATGTTAGGGTCATGTACAATTAAAAAGTTAGGTTCAAGTTTGACATCAAACTGAATTTTAGATTCTGAGTGGAACGATGAATGTATTGATTTTACAATGATGTGTGTTTTTTTATTTTTTTGTGTCTGTGTACACGATAAGTAGTCGAATTAATGCTTCGATTTTCAACTTCAGTATCTTGTTCGATTGGAAAGTGAATATCGTTGGCGCATTGGGGAGGTCAAAATAAATTTCACAGTAGTTTTCAAAAGCGCCGGGAAAAACCAAAGAAAAATTAAGGAAAAACGGGAATTTTTACGCAAAATCTGTTTTTGAGAAAATCGATTTTGGTTTTTGGTGTAACTTTAAAACAAATGACCGTAGATACATGACATTTTCAGTGGTTGTTTATATTTGCATTTTCTATACACGATAACATTTTCAAAATATTTTGATTTATTTTGAACTGTTTAGGGACATTTTCAGTTTCCCATTTTATTAGTTTTTTTTTTTATGAATATCAATAAAAAATTATTTGTTGAGTAAAAATACTTGAAAATTTAATACAAGGCTCCTACTATATTGTTTCAAAGACAGATGAAAAATATTAAAAATCGTACGTCACTGTTTTTTTTTAAGCATTTAAAGTTCAAAAATTGACAAAATATGGATAAATCACGAAAATTAGCAAATTATTTTGAGTTAAGAATTCGTAAAAATTTTTCTTTTTAAATCTAAGATTTGAAAATCTAATACAAGATTACTCATCTGATTGTCTACCTTTACCAATAAAAACATTTCTACCGGAAAGTCAAATTAAATTTTTATGAGCGTTTGAAATTCAAATTTTTACAACATTGGATATTCACTCGATTTCTCATGTGGCGATTTCCTTATTTTGTTGTAATTCAAAAACGAATAACTGTAGATACATGAAAATATCACTGAATGTTTATATTAGCATTTTCTATACACCATACAATTTTGAAAATATTTTGACTCTTTTTGAGCTATTTACGGACATTTACCGCTTTCAAATTTTTTTAGTTTTTTTTTCTATAAATATTAATAAAGTTTTATCTGTTGGGCCAAAAAGTGTAAAAATTTAATTCAAGGCTCCTGATATATTGTTACAATACCAGTTGAAAAATATTAAAAATACATAGGCACAGTTTTTTTTTATAAGCATTTAAAGATCAAATTTTGACAAAATTTATCAAAATCTCGAAAATTATCAATCATTGTAATTAGTAAATTATAAAATGTTCAGTTTTTATAGCTAAGGATTGCAAATTTTAAACAAAGGTTCTCATAAATAGTTCATACTGTAACCAAAAAATCTAAAAATATATGAACACAGTTATTTTTTACAGACATTTTAAATTAAAATTTGGACGAAATTACAAATTAAAAAACCTAGAATAACTATTTTAGTTATTTTGTTGTGGTTGAATAATGTTATTCGTGAGTACTTGAAACTTCTAAAGTGTACTATTATATATCTATGATAGTATTACGGTTTTTTGTTGATGTATAACGCATTATAAGTACTTAATGGATATTGTGATATGATTAATTTGGAATTTATTATAGGTACCTATTATAGGTCAAATTTTGGTTTAGTACCATAGATATGTATATAATATGTCTTATACCTAGACTGACATACCGTCTCCGCTCAGAATCTTTTTTCGTATACAATGATATTATATCGTTGAATTCAAATTTAATATCATCTATTATACAGTGACCCACTTGTAACCTACTGTACAGCAGAGCCACACCCACTTGCCCACCTTTTTTGGTTTGTATTCTGTTTGACATACGATTAAAGTTTGGTTTGAGACCATATTTTGGAATTTCACCCACCTCTAAATAATATCATATCACTATGATACTCCAATATTCACTTAAGTATTCCTTGAACAATAATAATAATTATTACAAGTTAATACAAATAGCTAGTTACCTTCCTCAGTATTTAGGTTTTCATGATTTTGTGGTACAACAAAACCATTTTCTGCATCTGAATCACTATGTTCATTACCCATATTTAGATGTTGATGTCGTTTACGTTTTTGTTTATTCTTTGTAGAAGTTACAGATACAACTATTAAGATACATGACGCAGAAGGTGGACATATAACTGAATCGGTATCTTGTACTTGCCATTCATAAAACATTAAATTGTTCAATGAAGAATCATGTTTTTTTCGCAGTTGCAGAGGGTCAGTTGAGCCACTTATTATGTTGTTACTAACACAATCAAATGATGTCTCCCCATATTTTGTGCGAGGAACGTAAAAGTAACGAACAGAAATGGGCAAATTATTAGATGATGATAACCAGGACCAAGATAAATGTGTCTTAAATTCTCGAAGCACATGACTTATGTGGATGCTAAAAAAAAAGAAAAGATTAATGTTTAAAAAATCTAAAGGTACATGGTATGTGCATTACTAGAAATATATTTTATTTTATTTTATTACAATATGTTGATCAGTTTTGGGCACTGTTATATATTTAACTAGCTGTACACTATATGAGTATGAAATATACTTACCGACATAATATTTTGGAATGGTAGGCCAACGGAACCGATTTACGTGCTCCAAACGCTAACCATTTTGCTAAAAATTGAATGCATAACGGATTCACATATATTTCAGATGGTTGTTCAATTATAAGGGGTTGTTCCCACAGAAATCGTTCTATGTAAATATCCCATAAAGAGTAAGTTACAGTGGAAGTCAATTTTTGTTGAAGAACTTCCATGTTATCTCGACCACGCCACCACACAAACAATTTAACTAAAAATAGCAATTACAATTATTACTTCAAAGAAGCATAGGTATAAATTAAAATTAATAAATCTTACTATAGCCGCTAAACTCAGTAGTTGACTTCAAATCGTCAATACATTCTGCTTGTGTACGTCTTTCAAATAACTCAGGATCAATAGGATAGTCATATAAATAATCTATTGAATCGTGATCTTCATTTGAATAAATGTCAAATAAAACACACGCTAGACCTCTTTTACCACTTGTAATACGTTTACCACCAATTACACTAGTTCCGGCAATTGGTTGATTGTACATAAAAAATGAACGAATAATGGGTTTTTTTATTTCATTTATCATACTATATGCATAGTTAAATCTATGATGACGACTCGCATATTGTGGCGGGTATAGCAATAAAGTTGCAGCATTACGTTTTAGATTGTGTATAAATAATTTTGTAATTTTTGTTTCAATTGGCAATGATAACTAAACAAAAAACAATTTTAAATAAATAATATGACTTTCAGTACAATATTATGTTTAATATAAACATGTTGGTATTATTTATATTAAATATTTTAAAAAACAAAAAAACAAATTTCTCAGCTTTATTTTATTATGTAACAAAGCACAAAGTATGTGCCGCAATGTCTTTATAAAGGTGCCGCGTTGCCATAGAAATTTATATAGCACAAAAATAATTTTGAAACCCAACAAAAACTATTACCATTATGTAGATAAATATGTATAAACTATGTATAATTTAAATTAAATAAATATCTTCATATTGCCCATTAAAATGTATACCTACTGGTTTTTATTTAATTTTTCTATTTTTTATGTTTAATCATGATATGACTTAGGGAAGGGCGCCCTAAGATCACCGTGGTTCAAATAGGGCGCCGAGAGCCAAATAAGTTTTTGAACCTCTGATGTAACTATTATTATAATTTAAACTCAAGTGTTAACTTAACTTTTCTAAGAAACAATTTAAATAATTAAATAAATAGAATTAAAAATGTATAATATAATGTGAAATAATTACTTTCATAGTATAATCTGGGTGACCATTACTTGGTTGTACAAAACGTACATCATCTGGATATAATCTACAGAGAGGATTTCTATATAGCATAGTTGTCAGCAGTTCTAATACACCATCATTTAATCTGTTTTGCAGAACTCTTACAAGATCAATACGTATTTCATCGCCTAATATAATTAAAATGTAATTAAATTAAATTCTTTTCTTTATGTTTTAATTAATTAAATGTATACTACTTACCCACAGGTGATATCCCATGCACTTTTAATGTCAAATCTTCCACGTCTTTTGAATCTACATCACCCCAATACCCACCTAAGGAACGTGTTCCAGGATTTTGAATAGATTTATTGTCCATATACTAAATTCAATAATTAAAATTATAGAGTGGTCATGTGAAGATAAATAAATACACGTATACTTTGTTCAAGTTAAGAAATGTAGTCGGTGGCCAACTTGTGCACAGGGGTGTGGCAATTCTCGCGGCAGGTGTACAAATAGTTGACACGGTGGGGGGGACAAACGGGTGTTGCTTGACGGGTGCTCAACGAAAACTGGTCGCCGCCGACTACATTTCTTAACTTGAACAACAGGGTATATAATATTTATCATATACAGGATCCTCCAAATTGTAATTGATTATTTAGTTTTTAGTGTTGTATCATTTCAATGATAAATTATGATTTATTTATCAACTTTCAGAATGTATACACTTAATCATTGTTCTTTTTATTTTATTTTATTATAAATAAAAGGCCTTAATGGCATTGGTAGTTGGCCGCTATTAGTGTGTTACAATACTATTGATTTTTAACTGTTTTAAGTACATTATAGAATATGTTTTGTTTTTATATAACATCAAATTAAATAAGTAATAAATTATTGTTATTTATTTGCTATTGAATATGCACGCTTGTACATGTTGAGCATTATGCATTAAGAAAAATGTAAAGTTAATCAACTGGCAGATGTACTTTGCTGAACATTTATATTCGGTTACATAGAAACAGTTATTATTCCATTTAAGCTAATTTTGTCCTGCTTTGGTATTCCTTTAATCTATGATTCTTTAGAAAATATTATGATATCAAGTCCAACTTACTTTCGAAACAATGGAAACGCAATCTCTTTAATATTAATGTTTTTGGTTCTAAATTTCGTTTTTAAGCAACAGCGACTTAATAATGTCACTATCATAAGATAATATTGTAATATATATTTGTTTTAATGCTGGTTCATTTTTATTAAGTATTGGTACTATAATAAAAATTGTAAGGCAGAACGCATAAATTAATTATTTACTGTTGAAATAGCTTAAGCTAAATAGGTTTAGTTCTTTAAATTATTGAGGTATAAAGTTAAACCACACGAAAACTAATTAAAATTTAACCTGTATTGAATCATATTTTAAAAATTTAGGTTCACCTTTGAATTATAATAATACTCAATTTTCCCTTTATCGGTTAGTGAAAGAAATAACAAACATTCAATTTTTCTAGATCTGACATACAAAATTATTTTCATTCGATTGATTTTTTTAGTTTCAATATATTATAGTGATATTTACTGGCATGTATAATTTGGTAAACTCTATATATATGTATGATGACAAACAATATTAGACTAACATTTACATCTTCCGAGTATTTGCGAGAAAAATTTGATTGGTTGGAAAATATTGTGGATGTAATTGTTGTTGAAGTGGCAGATGAGCATCTTGACATAGTGTCATCGTCGTCAGAATCATATTGTAATGGATATATTACAATATTATTATTTTTTTGTTCTAGTTGCTGTTGACTCGAATTTTCATAGATTCTACAAAGCAAGTCATATTATAAGCTCAAATTAATTAATTATATTTTCAAAAATTACCTTAAATAAAACACAGAACCAGACGACTCTTTGTAGACGAACATATTTCGACGATTTCGAACAGAAAACCCTTCAAGCATAGTATGTAAAACTTGTATACCGAGTAAACCAATAGCTGTTGCTCGTTGAAGCCTAGGATGTAGTGAAAATCTAGTAGACCATACAACTGGGCACTTAAATTGGCCAAGAGTAAAATGGTTAATAACTTTTTTCCCTTCACCAATACCATTTTCATCTAAAAAAAATAAGAAAATTAGAAGTTTACCTACATGTTATTATAATTATCTTGGAGGCTTAGGATAATGGATTAAGTAGTAACTAACTGCATAAATGTATCCTCTATTTAGGTAATATTTAAAAAAAATAGTAACTCATAATTATTAAAATTAAGTTGACTCGGGGAACCATACATTTAATAATAGATATTTCAATATTAAGCCACACTGTATGTTATTTATTAAAAACAAAATTTGATAATTTGAATAATTGTGTTACATACAATTTATATGTTTTTTTAAATTGTAACAATTTAGATGCTCATAACTTATATAAAAATTAAAATATTATAAAATAGCCAACGTAGGGTGTGAAGGTAATGTTTTAAACTTAAAGTTTGATGATAAGTGAATTTACTTTAAGAGGATTTAAGCGCACTATTTGTTTTCTCTCTCTGGCCCACTTGCAACATAGACAAAACATATTTACGCAGAATAATTTTTTCTATGTTTTTAAGTAATCATAGAGTAAAATCACTAGTTACAAAAAAGATAGAGAATAATATTTTTGAGGGAATAACAAATTGATTTGTCTAAATATTGTCTCAAAACAATTTAAACATAATTTAAATGTACAACATTTTTTGTTTATTTTGAAAGTCAAATAACAATAAAATATAAAAACGATATGTCATTCCCTCAAAAATATTATTCACATTCTTTTTTGTAATGGGTGATTTTACTTTAAGATTACAAAAAAACATAGAAAAAATGATTTTGCGTACATGCGTTTTGTCTATGTTGAGCGTAGGCCAGAGAGATAAGACAAATAGTCGCTGACATCCTCTTAATATTAAAAGTAATAACAAGAGGTTGATTCTGAAACACATAATTTTGCTAAATTTAATCATTAACTTTTTACAAAAACAAGTTTATTATTTTATAAAAGTGTTTAATTATAAATTGAATATTAAATTATGTATCTGTAAGTAGAGGTTATATTGTTTTGTTGTTATTTATGATAAAGAACGATACCAGCATCATCTGAATTATCATGATCTTCAATAATAGGTTCCAATAATGGATCACAAGTCTTTGTTTCATATAAACGACACAATAAAATAGTTTGATTAACAACAGTCGCAGCTTGATGTACATTTTGTTTTACAATTTCCATTATTGCAGAATATTTTCCTTGTACATTTAATTCAGAAAACCTAAGTAATATTAAAGTGTGTGAGAGTTCAGATAATATTTAGATACAATTAGGATATTGATTTACCTGCAATGGAAGTATACATTTACTAGTAATGTGTTGACTGTATTGTTATTGTCAGATTTGTGTTCTTTTGGACATTGTTGATCCTGCTGTATTTTTAGTATGATCCAAAAATTTGGTAATATTGGTTTGGAGTGATCAATATCAGTTAAAAACTCATCTGAACCAGGACTGTTTTCAAGATCATCACTATTGTTTTCAAAAACTGTACTATCAGGACTAGGATGCAGATTTTTTTCCACAACATAAAATGTATCTTTTGTAGACTGTTCAAGAGCATAACGGTCATGACCATTATCACTATCTAATATAATATCCAATTGATCAAGTTTCTATAACAAATAAGTGCTAATTGTAGAAATTACATAAATTATGAATCGTATACAGTTTTATAGTAATATACAACAATTTTTTGTTAATTCTACAATCAAAAAGTGACACAAACGTAGAACGCTACTACTTGATATTTTCCACTTTGAAATGAATTATATATATGTATTAATAAGTAACCATTAATTGTATAAATGCCTAGCGGGAATTAAGTAATTTTTACATATTATTTATTTCTATGGTAATACACAAAGCGTTACGTAAAATTAGTTAAAAATATCTGCACCCTGCCCAAACAATTTTTTTCTTATAACGGTAGTGCAATATTTATAATTATTAAAATGTATACTGGGTGTGATTAGATTATATCCAGATATGATTATTATTATCTACAATTCAAATTTTCTTCAATGATATGTTATAAATTATAATTAAAATTTTACAGTCAAATATTATGAAACTTGATAGTAAGAACATTATGTGTGTTTTTTAAAATAATTCAGTTTTTAATTGAGTTATTAGCATTTTTAATTTACACTTTATTATACACTCATAAAATCCTATAAAATTTAACTATCGTAAAAAACCCACACACAAACACAGATAATGTTCTTACCACCAAGTTTCATAATATGTCGATTCACTTTAATTTTTAAACTAATGGAGCTAAAAGTGATCTGCTAAGCGTAAATTTGCTATGTTGGGCAGTTGTAAGACGGATACAGCCAATGGCTGTGTAGCGTCCTCTTAAAGCCTAGGAAAAATACCTTACAATAATTGTTTAACAAACATTAGAAAATAATATTATAAGTACATATTTTATAATACTAACAATCAACTTGAATTTTTAATGTGTAGGTATTATTTTGCAATTAGTGACGAGTGGTTGATTGAAATATTCAATTTAAATAGTTGAATTGTATTTATCAACTGAAGTTTGATAAAATAAATAGTTTAACAATAGTATAATATAAATGGAATTTAAACATATCTTTGAGGAGCTTTCATAACAAAGAGGAAAAAAATTGTTTGAATGTCTATCTCATAATACTAATTTTGTATGGTAGAACATACATTGAAATTAATTTAAAATAACGAGTAATAACTATTGGGTTGTAAAATACCTGTAAAAAAAGTGATACACTATTGTTTTTAGAAGGACGTGATGAAGGTACTACAAAATGAACAGGTATTTGTTGGTAATCATTTGATGGAGATTTTGGAGAATTTGAGACATGTTCAATGATCTTTTCTAATGAATTGGTTGTGACAGTTGGATATTGTAAAAGACCAGCTGCCATTTCGTCACGCATACACCATTCCACCTATTACAGAAAAAAAGATACAATTTATAATATTAAATTTCAGAAAAAAAAAAGTTTTAATTATTATTTAATTATTACGTAAGATTGATACATTATGATTTCTATTATTACCTCAGCTAAGAATTCTGCTAATCCTTGAGCATGTCGAAGTGGTAGAGAAGCACTCAAATGAACAAACGAGTTTTCATGATCGATTGTCTGTTTTCTATAAATAAAATATAATAATAAAAAAAAAATTTATAGTTTTTAAGGTTGTACTAACGATGATTGAAGTGTTGTAGATTTATTATTTATTGGAAAATGTAATTGTTCTGAACTATTCATTGTAGTATATCTATCCATCTCATCATCATCGTCGTCGTCATCATCATAAACATTAATTGGTAACATTAAACAATACACATCTAGTGATACTTTTAAATCACTAAAATCCATATTTTTTGAAGTATCGTTATCATTGTCTTGATTCAATAGTTCAACTATGGACAAATATATACATATAAGTATATTGTATATGAGAGTTCTATATATTTTAGAGAAAAAAAAACATAAATATCTATAAAAGGAAACTAGGAAATCACGTATTCATTAATCTATATAAATGATGTTCAAATAAGGTGTTTTATAGAACATTTTTTTTTTTTTTTTGGTTGATTAAGGTTATACGATTTTTAGATTTAAACACCTGACCCCACCACAAAAAATGACATTTCCAAATGTGAACATAGCAAATTTGTGTTCAGCAGTTAAAATTTTGTATAGTAAGCTTTAATAATAGAGTGGATTGATCTATTATCAAAATTATAGGTAAGAAAATTATCTGTGTTTTCTCATTTGTGTTATGTAACATTTTAATTTTTAATCAAGTCATGAGTATGTTAAGTATTATAATTTAAAAATTCTCATAATCGCTTGAAAATTAAAAAATTACAAGAAACCCATAATATTCTTATTCACTCAACTATTAAAACTTACTAAACAAAACTTAAACGGCTTGACACAAATTTGCTAACATGTGAATCTGACCGTCTTTTAAGTAATTAACTGGTAGTTATAAATACTTACGAATACAAGTAGGCAAGGAACGAACAGACTGACTTTTTGTAACAGTATTTGATTTTACAGTGCAAACTAAATGTACAAATAGAGGAAATATATCTTGTTCATCTAATTCATGTGTATCAAAATCTGTTTTATGATCAGTTTCTCCTAATAAAATATTAGTAAGATATTTTTGTCTTCTACTGTTATTACTGTACTCGTCACAGTCCTAAGGAAAATGATAAATGAATCAAACAAAATATTAATGAGAACAGTAAACATTCACATCCACCCATAACAACAATCAAACACGAAGAAATAACTCACTAAATCATCAATTAAGTCATAGAAATAATAATCTTGATGGTTGGTTACAGGCTTCAGCATGTGGCGATCTAATGTGGCTGAAAATTTTGAGTGTATCATATCATGGTGCGATTTTAATGTTGTATTATCAGCAGGGCAAATAGAACAGGTATCAGCATTTTTCTTGAAATGATCACATACAACCTTAAACATATAACAGTCGGTAGGTTTTAAAATTATTATTATTATGTTAATCTTAATTCAAATTACATTTTAAGATTAATTATTACTTGATTAAATTTTGTTAATGTAAAACAAAATACAATTTAAGATAATGTGTTAATAAATGCAACTAACATTAATATTAATTGTTTCTTTATACAAATTCTCAAAAGTTCTATTAATAAGTTATATGTCAATTTACATTTAATCAAGTGTATTAAGTAATACTTGATTTGCCTTTACATATTATTATTAGCACCAACGAAAAAATATTAATCAATAAAACTATACCTTGTTATAATTATTTTTCAAATACAATAATAGTTGTGAATAAATTCATGATATAAGAAAAGGACTTGATAAAATAAGACAAGATATATATATAGGTTACATACATGTTCTAATGAATAGTTTTGATAATATTTTGTCCACCATGATGAGATAACATTTTATTACTATTAATATAGATTTCAAAGCAATAATAAATCATCACATTTTATAAATTTAAATAAAATTGTTTGTCAGTGATTTAGATCTTTAAAAACCAATAATTGAATATAATAGATATAACTTAATAAATGAAATAAACATTTTTATTTTCTTTCATCCTCAAATCTAGTTGATACTCATATAGTATATAAACAGAACATTTTTATACATATGACAATAATCTATAGGACCAAAATTATGGATATAAGAATAAAAAATAAATATTTTTTATTAAAAAATTCTGTTTCTGTACTTTATTCAAGTTAAGAACCGTACTCTATTGTGACCAACTCCTCAGCAGAGCCATGGAATTCTTACACTGCTAATGAATAGATGGATGACTCTATGGGTTTGATAAACATGTGTTGCCTGACTGCTGCCCAAAAAAAATCTGGTGCCCACCAAGTACTATTCTGAATTTGACTATGGTATAGAGAAAAGGTCCCCAAACTGTGTTATATAAAAGTGGGTCACAATTAATTTTTGGTGGGTCCATAAATCTGTTTTTTTTTTTTATTAGACTCATAGACATAAGGACTACACATATTAATTTTATTTTTTGGTAAAAAAATAATTATTTTTATTTTTGAAACAATTGAAGATTTTATAGAGTTTATTTTTGTAAAAATGTTGACTTTTAACATTTTATTTTCATTAATCTTATATTTTTTTAGTTTATAGGTAAAATGGCAAAATACCAGTTTTTGTCCAGGCGGCGAATCTACCTCTATGGCTAATGGGTATATCCTCACGGGACACCCTGTATATTATGTATAAATACAAGTATAAATTCAAATAAATATGACACAGTTTTTTTTATTAATGTTTGAAAGTAGTTTAATCATTGATTTTTATCCTCAACAATTATAATTGAACCAGACTAAAAGTTATCACAAGGATAGCGATCAGTAATCAAACAAAAAAGATCATTAGTATAGAAGGGGTCACCAGAATTTAAACATTTTCCGAAATGTGTCGTGCCATGAAAAGTATGGGAACCTCTGGTGTATAGCAGTACAGTATAATTCAATACTTATTTCAGAATAAAATTGTATTTTACCTTAATGTAGTCAGTGATGTCAAATGAAATTAGACGATGCTGACATCTATCGACAGCACGTTGAATATCCATGTACCGAACATTCAATCCCAGATGTAAAGCTTGAAATACTGTTGTCACTAAGCTGCGATCATAGATAACTCGAATTTTATATAAATATTTTTCCAAGAACATTGGGTCAACTGAAACAAATGAATTATTTTTAAAAATAGATCAATCCTAAAAATAATAAATATTAAATTACCGGGTGGATCATCATAAATATTTTGTTCTCTGTTAGAAATTATATTATTTTCCTCTACATATTCATCAATATCGGTCTCAGTACTACTACAGGAACTACTTTCTTCCAAATAGTCATCAGTTAATGAATGGTCAAATGAACTACTGTCAGACATGAGAACATTTTCTACATCTTCTTGTCGACAGTCATAAACATCAATAAACATATGTGTTGGGTAATCTTGTCCATCAGTACCAATATCACTTAAACAACTGTTATGTTTAATTTCAGTAGTAGAAAAATTTTGTTCAAGCCTGAGTTGAGCCCAAGACATATCTTCAGAGTCTTTATAATATGGCTTTGATCCTACAGACATGGTTCGGTAGTAAGGTGTAGAATTTTCTTGGGACTGTGCACTCAATAACGATTGTCCTGTTCCTCTTTTAGTGTAATGCCACGTATTAGCCCTTGAACGACCAAATGGTGGAAGATTATCCTCAGATAAGTTATCTGAAATATTACATTTATCTTCTATAAGTGATGGACCAACAGTTAAAATTAAACGGGTATCATTAACGCGTTTAATGAAACATTGGCCAATTTCTTGATCATTCACAGTCTGATTCATATCTACTGATATATCCGAGTCGTTGACATCAAATGATCGATTATTGTATGTCCGTAAACGTGAGTAAAATGAACGTTCCAATATGTAGTTCAATTTTTTTTCATCTCTAGCACTATTTAATTCTATATAAAAATGTAATAATTAAACATGATTACAAAATTTATTTCAAATGGAAAAATATTCTTACCAGTATCATCATGATCTGCAGTGAAAAGACTAAATGTTAATGAAGAATGATGTCTACATTTAGGTAGTAAATTTACTAGATTAAATGTAAAAGGTAATTTATATATACGACCAGCATCAATAATGACTGTTTTACTCTGTCTTCGCTTCTTATTTATATCTATATCTGGATTAGAAACTAAAATATTTTGGTTCATGCACATATGTTGCATATGTTGAAATGTAAATAATGAGTCAATACAATCAGAGTCCACTTGCCACAACTAATAATTAAAATATAGTATAAAATTATATTAGTACAAAAATCAAAATCAATGGACAATGGACATGATAGCTAATAATAATATGTTCCCCATAATAGTAATAACTTATAACTAATATAAGTAATAGCAAATAAAAGCATCAAAATTTCAGGTAGCAAGGTATTTTATGTAAGGCATTAAAACTGTATTGTTTGAAATGATCAATCTTATGATCATAATCAAAAAATAGATTATAAGTTTAAAATATTTATATAAATTAATATTATTTTTAATTGTAATGTAAATAATTATATATAATTACAAACCTACAACACGGCATATTTGTGTTCAGCAGAACCATTTTTGTATAATAACCTTAAATAATACAGTAACTACTATCAAACTTTAAGGTAAGAATTTTATGTTTTATTATGGGTTTTTCTACAACTAAATTTTTAAGCAAATTATGAGTTTCTTAAAATAGCAAATTAAAATTGCTCGCTCCTCACTTGCTAAAGTTTAAATACAGTAAAACTTCCGTTAACGGTCACCTCTATGTAACGGTCTAACGGTTTGTTTGGTCCCATCGAGTGTTATGGGAAAAATACATTAATACTTCTAAATAGCGGGCACTCTAATTAACGGTCAACATTTAAAATTATATCAAATGGAAAATTATTATTACGAAATTATTTTTGACCGTTTATCTTAACGAGCTTAATTTATGATGTCGATAAGGCGATAACACTTGTCCGTGACAGTGTATTTTGTCATTTGTGTTCAGTGTATGTTTAAAACGTTTCGAAGTACGTACCTATAATTTCAATGGCGTCCCAACGAAAACATCTAACTTTAACAGAAAAAATCTGAAGAACCCGAGTACAATGTATCAAACTATTCTGAGGTTTTAACTCAAATAAAACAATTATCAGCTTTTACTCTTCAAAAAGGTGACGTAGATGGTTATGACATGTTAAAAATCGCAGAAATTTATTTTGAAAAAAGTGTTCAAATAATCAAATGAATCTAAAACAAACTAATATAACACAATTTTTTTAATTTTAAACTGTACCTACCTACCTACATTATTTCGTAAATAATAAATACAATTTTTAATACCCATATTCATAATATGCGTTATTTTAATATTGGTGTTTTATTTTTAAAATTTGTAGGACCTCTATATAGCGGTCACCTGGAAGGTCTTGAACTTCTGTTAACGGTCACCTCTGTAGGCGGTCACCTCCCTTCAGTGACCGCTATATGGAAGTTCTACTGTATCATAAAAAAAAACTCTTAAGGAAACACAGATCATATTTTTATTTTAGATTCTGAGTGAAACGATGAATGTATTGATTTTACAATGATGTGTGTTATATATTTTTTTATTTATATTTGTGTCTGTGTAAACAATAAGTAGTCGAAATAATGCTTCGATTTTCGACTTCAGTATCTTGTTCGATTGGAAAGTGAATATCGTTGGTGCATTGGGGAGGTCAAATCTAATACAAGATTACTCATAAGATTGTCTACCTTTACAAATAAAAAAATTTCTACCGGAAAGTCAAATTAAATTTTTATGAGCGTTTGAAATTCAAATTTTTACAACATTGGATATCCACTCGATTTCTCATGTGGCAATTTCCTTTTTTTGTTGTAATTAAAAAACGAATTACTGTAGATACATGAAAATTTCACTGAATGTTTATATTAGCATTTCCTATACACCGTACAACTTTGAAAATATTTTGACTCTTTTTGAGCTATTTACGGACATTTACCATTTTCAAATTTTTTTAGTTTTTTTTTCTATAAATATTAATAAAGTTTTATCTGTTGGGCCAAAAAGTGTAAAAATTTAATACAAGGCTCCTGATATATTGTTACAATATCAGTTGAAAAATATTAAAAATACATAGGCACAATTTTTTTTTATAAGCATTTTAACATCGAATTTTGACAGAATTTTTCAAAATCTCGAAAATTATTAATCATCGTAATTAATAAATTATAAAATGTTCAGTTTTTATAGCTAAGGATTGAAAATTTAAAACAAGATTCCACGTAAGTAGTTAATTCTTTTACCGAAAAATCTAAAAAATATACAATCACAGTTTATTTTTATAGTCATTTTATGTTCAAATTTGGACGAAATTACATATTAAAAAACCTAGTTATTTTGTTGTGATTATATAATATTATTCGTGGGTCCTACTTGAAACTTCTAAAGTTTACTATTATATATCAATGATAGTATCAGGATTTGTTATTAATGTTGAGGTATAACGTGTTATAAGTACCTAATGGATATTGTGATAATGTGATATGATTAATTTGGAATTTATTATAGGTCAATTTTTGTTTTAATACCATAGATATGTATATAATTTGTCTTAAACCTAGACTGACATACCGTCTTCGCTCAGAATCGTTTTTCTTATACAATAATATTGTATAATTGAATTCAAATTTAATAGCATCCATTATACAGTGACCCACTTGTAACCTAGTGTACAGCAGAGCGACATCCACTTACCCACCTTTTTAAGTTTGATTATTGGTAATTTCACTGTATTATTAATGGTTATTATACAAAATTGGAACTGCTGAACACTCTGTTTCTATGTTGTACTCAGGGGTACTACCTACCTCCTCCTACATTAAAATTAAAGGGTATACAATCGTAAATTAAGTTTAATTTATACGTTTACGTATTCAAAATTGGTCTTATTTTCATGAATATATGAATGTGAGTAATAATATTATTATCACTTTTATTATTATTATCGATTTATTATTTATTATTATAACATAATACATATCATTGAACATATTGAGTAATTTTTACTTACACATTGTTACTTTTGAATATAACTTCAGGTATAAAGTAAATATGTTTCATGACTTGTTTCAATGTATAAATGTATAAATATAATGTACCCATTTATATTTATATTGTATTATAATTATATCAATACATTTATATAACTGTTATATTTTATTATTTTAATCTACTACCAATATCAACATTAAAAGAATAAAATATTAAGAAAGGTTTTCTATTATAAAACATAAATAAATGTATAATAGTTGTTAGGTGTTTTACGTTTTGCCCCATTTTATCCATTATTTTCAAATAAAAATTATATTTAAAGCTCTCCTGCTAATCTCTTAGTGGTTGCTGCTATTTTATATGTATTTGGTTTTATTTAATAGTTCACTTAAATCTGTATTTTATTTTAAGTTTTTTCATCATAATACTAAATGTATTATTAAAAGCAAATACTAATATTGGCTGATTTAATATATTTTTTGCACACAATATTTATAACTATGTTATAAGACTCATGTCCGTATTGAATAAATAAATAAAATTAATATATATTATATAATTATTTTTTACACAATCTCTGTTTCTATAAAAATATATATATTCAAATATATTAATAGATTTTTTCCATAATTTGTAATAAATTAAAGTGAATACACTTTTTAAGATCACTTTTAATGAATAATGTATAAGAATGTAATTTAATCAATATATATTTCAAAATTTCATAAAATATATATTTTTATTATTGTTCACACCAAAAAGATGAATGGAAGGATAATACCGTTACTTAGACTATTTATTAAATTATTCAAGTACTCCATATTAGTAAACAGACATTTATTATATTGTACACAGCAGACTAATTATAAACATTGAAAGCTATATAGGTATGTCATTTATTTAAATAATAAGATACTTAATCAATATCTTTGTACATTTAGTAACGTTAGTCCACAATATTTTAAATAAATCCATTTGATAACAAAAAAACAAATAGTTTTAAATGTCGATACAACTTTACAATTTGAAATAATATTGTAACATAAACTGATAAAATTTGATGACTCAAATAATAATTTAAGCCATAGTTAGAAAAATTAAATTAGTTGAATAGCAATACATTTCAATACTTGTTATAATTTACACTAGGTACTAGTTTAGCAGCGGCCATCTCTGTAGATCTTCGTAGTGCGTAGTGACTGAATTAAGTTGGAGGAGTTGAATCTCACTTTGTGCGTATTTGCAAAATATTTTATTATGTTTAATAAATATAGTGAACAGACTACTTCTCCACTTAATTCATGAATTCACATGTTCTGTATATAATATGTATGAATACATATATATATAATTAAGGCCGCTGCTGCTATTACTAATTTAAAAATACTTTACAATCTCATAAAACTTATATAATTATTGAGATAGGTACACATTTCATAAACGACTCGCTAACAATAAGAAGAAACAAAATAATTCAATTATTAGTGAGAAATAATGAGAGAATACGCTTGAACGATCTTGGCCTGATCTAGATGAATACATTATAATGTCTTCAGGCCAATCTTTTGCGTAAATGAAATGTGTAAAAAACTATCAAAATATATATATATATTTTTTACAAAAATCTCAATACCTATATGACAAGAAATAATATGATTAAATGTATACATGTTCAATGGCACTTTACATTTTTTTTTTTTGTACTCTTATCTATGAATTCAATTTTATTTTTAATTATTATTAATTAATTTACATCAAATTTTTAGAAAGTGCCTACTCAAATGCCTGTCTTGATATTAAACTTAAAATGTGAGAATAATGATTTAAAGTTAAAATAAATACTTAGGCCAATCGCTTTATAATTTATTTTTTATTTATGTAATTGGATTGAACTGTAATTTGATGTTAAATTATTAAAAATAAAAATGAAATGTTGATAAAACAATTAAGTAAGGGTACTGTGTATTCGTTTTATACAGACATTAAAATGTACCTACCTAATATAAATTATAATTAATATAAAATATACAAAATACATTATTTAATATATACATAAATGTTTATAGTAAAAATAAAATAAAACAAAAAAAAATATTGGTTAAATTCATTGAGATCTTACATTATTTGGTGCTAATAATACGAAAAAATGATCACTTTTTTAATTAATACTAAACAGTCGAAATTCACC